GAATTGTCTATTAGTTGAAATTTTATTAGGGGAGATGGCTTTTTCAACTGGCCTCCAGTTTCATACTTGAGACGAGGAATGCAAGAGTGACTTTACACCACTGTGTTTATTGTAATAACTAATGTAAGGGTAAATAAAATGTGACTTATAATACAACCATTGCATATGTTTTTCTGTTTGAATACATGAACCCCATCACAACGTTAGATTCCATTACTAATGCACAGTGTTGCAGTTTTAAAACGCCAGTGTCCTCCGTAAACCTTAACAGATGTCATTCACATATGGACAGATATGATAAAAATATGATATGACAAAATAAAATATAATGTTATTTTATGCATTACAGATTACGTTGATTTTTTTTTTCATTTTACTACTAAAAAGACTGCAATAAATAAAAATAGGAACTTTAGACATAAAAAAAGTGATTTTTCTCTGACTTTCTCTGATCTTTGTCAAACCTGGAAGAATAATTAATTCATTTTGCCTATTTACCATAAACCATCCTTCCAATTTTTACAAGACTATTTCCTCTGTTTGTGTATGGCCTGGACAAAGTTCTATATTAAGTAAACATATATAATTATGACAAAAAGCCTCTAATTAATTCAGTAAGTTTAGTAAGCCATATTAATGTCAGATAAATAAATTCAAAAATAGTACAGAGTTATATGAAAATCCTGTCAAGTTAACCTTTTTATGCATATTTCCCACTATTGATTAAACAGAATGTCCATCATTTACCCTTTTAAAGGGATTAAAACACTGCATATACCGTGCATATCAACTGTGATAGCTCTGAATATTCTGTTGCCAAGAAAAAAACATATTTAGACCAGAAGTAGACAACTTTTGGCATTCCAGATGTTGTATTCACTTACAGACAAAATGTTGGCAAACATCAGGGGAGATGTAGTCCACATCTGGAGTGCCAAAGGTTGCCTGCTAGAGTTGTCGCGAACTGCTCGCCGAACTGTTCGCGAACTGTCCACCGGCGAACAATAGTGTGTTCGCGTTGGGCGAACATATACGATTTCCAGTCCGCCCCCTATTCGTCATCATTGAATAAACTTTGACCCGGAACCACACAGTCAGCAGACACTTCCTGGGAGGGAGGGTCTGCTGCTGATTGGCTGGAATGTGTCTGCTGACTGTGAGGTTCCGGGTCATAGGGGGCGGACCGGAAATCGTATATGTTCGCCCAACGTGAACACGCTATTGTTCGCCGGCGGACAGTTTGCGAACCGTTCGGCAAGCAGTTTGCGACATCTCTATTGCCTGCCACTAATTTAGATCATCTAACAAGATTTCAATAATAATAATAAAAAAAAAAAATTCTAGGTAGACAATAGCACATCATAGTTCATACTCTTTCATTCCCTCTATTGTAGGAGAAATCTCCATCTCCTGTTATTCTTGTACCTCACTTATGTGTTCCTGCCAGTTCTATAATATCCTTTTTGAAAAACAGTACCCCAAATTATATACCACATATTTAAGATATCCCAAAATTAGCCCCGTTTAGTTTATATGTTGAATGCTAATTTCTAATCCCAAAATGCATAATTTAGCATTTTTCTACAGTGAATCTTATCTGGCCCATACCTGTCCAGCCCCCTATTTTTCCAAAGCCTTTTTGTAGAGAAGTAACATTTTGCTTATCAGATTTACCTTATCCAATTTTTTAATTGTCTAGTAAACACTAACATGCAACTCTCAATGCAGTTTAGAAGATAACTAATAAAGAAGACGTGGATCTAGAACAGATATTTCAGGTACTTGACTTTAGCACTTTTATCAAAACTTTGTAATAATAAATGATCTATAAATTCCTACTGACTTCACCATAAATTAAATCAAGTTAATGAGCAATCGGTTGTTTAGTGAATAAGACATTTTAGTGCAATGTTGGTTGTGGAAAAAACAAACAAACAAACAAACAAACAAACCATAGTTGCAATGTCTAAAACAGAAAGCAGAAGGTGTTATGTTCACATTCCACCAGTCATCATGTTTCCTCAATGAATCAGTGTGTATATATAGCCCCGGGAAAAATATTTTTGTTTATGGCAATGCTATTTAAATATTGTTACATGGAAGCTAGATGTACCTTAAAGCTGGCGTGTTAATTCATAGATATGCAGATGATAGAACGAGATAGAAAGACATCAAATGAGAAGCACTCATTAGACAGAGGTAAATGTACAAGTAGACAGAAGATAGATAGATAGATAGATAGATAGATAGATAGATAGATAGATATTAGGTTTGTCTGTAACTGTATGAGTGCAAATGAGTTTGTTGTCAAGCTTCAGCTTGAAGATCTTTGTATATTCTTGCTATAACAAATTTTTTGAGCAATGACAGTTTTTGAACAGGTTGTGCTGACAATTTCGACATCCACCTAGTTTGATAAGAGAATTTGTTAAAATAATATATTAAAAGTTTCAACTCTTTTCTATAATCAATTTGTTGGTCTAGAAAACAACCTCATATGTATATGTAATTTGCTCAAGATACCAGGTCATTCCTTTGCATCACATTACTACAACTTTCCCTACAATGACATTAAACTAAGATACCCACACTCAAGTCCTTGGAAATTTGTGATGCAAAATCCAACCACCTAACGCCATTCTGCTCAGTTATTTGCCAATGCATTACCTGGTTCAGTGATTACCTTTCCCTTGTATACCAATTATCTCTAAGTGATGCATTCTGCAGTAGCACTGACATGTCTATGACCTTGACTGTCTTTCTATGACTTATGCTAAACTATTCCCAAGCTTTACCATACCACCGGCCTGCTCTTTCTCCGCAATTCCTTGCCTTCAAACATTCCCTGAAAACTCACATCTTCAAAGACGCCTATCTAATGAAAACTGACATCTCTACTCTCAAAAGGCAGACGTTTAACTGCCAGGGGGTTATTCCAATCTCTTCTGTAGTTTTGTGAATCTCACGGTCGAGTTTAAAGGCAGTGAAAGTGCCCGTTCTTAATTTGATTCCCAGGGCATAACAATCTAGTATTAGAAATGTAAAATATTATTGATAATGTAGCTTGAAATTCTAATGTATGCCTCATTTTGTGACTCATTTTTTAGTGGACTATGTGTTCATTGTCCTTTGTTAATTTGTTTTAGGTCTTCGTGGTATTTTGTGAGAAGATGTGTTTTCTTGTCATGTTACCTATTATACAGGTATTCTTTCCTGACCCTTTTCTAGGTTCTAGGTGCATTATACCTGACACTAAGCATCACTTTCAAAATAACTTAGGGTCTTACTGTATTTGGTTATCTTAAATTATCATTTAAGGACCTTCACACTTCTCAAGGAACACCTTACCCTGCTAACAGCGTAACTTTCAATAGCGGGCTAATGTATTGGCTAAATTAATACAAATACCAGAGAGGTATGTGACTGGGCTAAATAATAAACAGTACCAGTGGTCTCAAATTAATGCTCATTTTTAAACGATGCACATTCTAGATTAAAAATCATCAAAGAACAAATGTCGTTTAATGAGTTAAATTTCTTCAGAATGAATGATGGCAAAAAAAGTTTTTTTATGGTGACTGATTCTGACACCAAAACTTAGAGTCTATGCCCGACATTAGGGAGTAGCCACCGTCACCATTGGGAAAAGACACCATCCCTGAAATCATTAATACTCATATAAGTTGTTTTTTTTTTTATATGGGAGCATGATACAGCATTTGGACAACAGTGTATTGTCTCTATCATGGAAATGAGTTACAATGGTCAGAATTTTTGTTCTTCATGGACTTTTGGACAAACGATCTTTGACACGCTACCCATCCAAACAATAATGAATCTTCTCTTTTTAGAACCTAGTTATGCCCCAACATTTACACAAAGGAAATGTATGTGTTTTACAAAGAACATATCTACAGTTTTACAAAGATGTTCCAGTTATGTGCTATCAAAGTATAGTACATCGTGCAGCCTTAACAATCCATTTTTTATCTGGTCTGGGAGAAAACTGGGCAATCTCTAGATACAAGAGCATGGAGGAACCCTGTGGACAGGTCTATAAAGCACTTAGACAGTAACAACTGATACTTCTTTAACAGATTAGTTTTCTATTAATTCAACAACTTCCAAGATTCTACTGCAGGTAAATGTTCTCTAAGATAACACCATCAATTTCTAAGGAAGCATACTTTACCGTGATGATAACATATTTACGTTTTGAACCTCTACACTTTATTCTCAAACAATTGCATTTCGGAAAACCCGCATCAACTACCATTTCTCTCAGATTATTTCCTTTATGTCTGCAGACATCTCAATGCATGTTGATGCACGAACCTTGAAAATTGGATCAGATATCACGGAGTTATTGGTGTTTGCAAGCTACCGTGCTAGGGTGTATTACTGCAAGGGGTATAGGAGGGCAGAAAATATAAGCAGAAATAAAGGGATTTATGAGCATTTTTTGCATATTAAAGGATTTTGCATAGTGGCTTAAAGCTGCAGTCGCAGGTACGATGTAGATCTGCACACCAATCCGCATTTAGTTCCCTTCTTGTTTCATGCCTTTCTGTGTATGCTTCTATAAGGTTAATTGGATAATCCTCATCATGCCAGTTACTTCTCTCTTTCAACTTAATGACACACTGTTTAAAGTACACACATACCTGCGCAACTCCCACGGCATAATATAAAAAGTCACCTTCATCTTATCAACTGCTAGCTAATCAAGGAAGCAGGCAGAAGTCATGCATATAAAGAATACACATAATTATAATCTGTTGTTTTACTACAGCACTATCTCCATTAATTGATTTTATGTGTCTGTGTAAGCAGCTTAGCGCAAAAAGGAAAAATGCATTTCAAATCCCAAAGGATGTGTCATTAAATGTCATTGTGCAAGGATGGGAATCAACCTGAAGGAAATAAATGAAAAGATCCAGAAATTCAGCAAACATTCTTTTTTTTCCCCTAGTTCGAATAAGTTATATTAAGTGAAACACTTACCCAAGTGTTGTCATGGTAACAATGGTATACCAAAAGGAGGCAGGAATGCTTGTGAACTTGCTGGACGATGACCCCTTTTCAGCATAAAACATCACAGTGGCAAAGATAATTATTGCCATGGTCAGGGAGAAGAGGAGGAATCCAAGTTCAGAGGCACAGCTCTTCAGAGTGTATCCAAGGATCCGTAAGCCCTGGGAGTGGCGTGAGAATTTGAAAATCCTGAAGACTCTGAAGACCCTCAGGGTGACAAAGGCGCCACTCACATCCTCGTTGTTGGTCATTACCAAGCCAATGTAGTATGGCATTATGGCCACCACATCAATAATACTCATGACACTTCTCATGAACCTGTAGCGGCTTGGGGCTGCAAAGAGTCTCAAGAGGTACTCAACTGTAAATATCATGACGCAGGCAGTGTCCAAGCAAAAGAAAGCTACAACGAACCTTTCACCACAAGGAAGCTCCTTGTTTCCAGGCACTGTTCCACAGGGAACAGTCTCCACAACATTGGTGATCACCGACACTGCAATAAAGAAGCCAGTTACATAATAGAAGACTAAGGCTAAAGTGCTGGTATGGGGGTTTTCAAAGGCTCGCCACATTGTCTGGCGTAAATTAAGAGAGGGCATGGCTTCTTGACTGTGCTCAAATTCATTATCATCCATCAGCCTCTCCGCATTTTCTCGTTTTCTGTCTTTGTATTCTTCATAGCAACAGTCACCTATGATCTCTGGCAAAATCCCGTAGAAAGATAGTTCTTCATCATAGGCAGAGATGCATTCATATCTAGGGTAGTGCAGCTTACCAGTTCTGTAAAAGTTTAGAATGCTCCTGAACACTTCTGGATCACGATCAAAAAAGTACTCCTTGGTCTCCTCATTGAAGAAGAAGTCCTTCTCTGTGCTTCCGAGCAGTGTGTCTGGGTACCTCTCTAAGGTAGTTCTCCAGGTTTGAAATCGGCGTCCACTGACGTTGAGAATTATCAGCTCATCTTGCCTTTTGTTTTTATCAGCTGGTGCCAGTGGCATAGGACAGTTGGCCACTGGCATCCACCCAATGGCAGCTGCCCTTGCAAAGGGTAGCCATGCTGCGACCCCAGAAGCCATGAGGGCGCCAGGTCCGGTTGGAGTCTCAAGAACCCGTAAGACAAGTTTGATTTCAAAGGAAGATCATCTGAAAAGAAACAATGCAAGTGAGTGTAACTGAGCAACAGATACATGCAATACATACAATGAATTCTGCTACTACGGAAACATAACAATGCACAAAATAAGACATCTCTCACCAACTTCAGAAGATTATATTTCACAAAAAAAGTCATTAATTAAACTAAGTAATGTATTTTATGTGCAGTTTACCCCATTCATGACAAAGTCTAGTCAAATTTCATAAAGTCAGGATGTCCAAGACACTTAATGTATCATAAATAGCTTTAATTACAAAGCTCATATCAGTATAGTACTAATTCCATCAAAGCAATATTAGCTGCTGCATAAACTGTTGTACCCAGAGAATGATGATGTAAAATAATTTATCATAAAATGTATTAAACTGCTAAACAAATGTGTTTAGATTGTAAGCTCTTTGTGTTATGATTTTGTGACCTTTTCATGTTGTTAACTATTGAAGCTGTGTTGTGATTAATTTACAATCCTATGGGGAAAGCCTGGACTATTTCACTTTGTGTATACATGCAAGTCACAAAAGCAGAGCCCGACTCTGTGTGAGGAATACAATGCCTGTGAGCAGGTGCACAGTGTGTTCATCCCTTATTCCACACAGAATGTTTATCTCTACTAGATTTGTATACTAATTTTTATTAATTCCCAAGTGTAGTTGCAATGGGACAATTGGCAAGATTAAATGTTAATGCACTTGATAAAAGGAACAATGGCAGACCAAATAATCATACTTTATAGATCTCTATTATAAAAAAAACAGTGTTTTATATGTGTTGTTCTATGCTCTAGGTGAAATGCAAGCTATTCTCTCCGCAACAGACTTTTCCATAAAAATAATCAGAAATAAGTAAAGTATTGTATATTTCATAGCAACTGCTACTATTGAACTGCTTCTTGTCAAAGAAATTAATCGTTGTGACTTTTTCCATTTTTTAAAATTTACATTTTTTATACAGTTCCACGTATGACCACTGAGGATTTCTAAAATTGAATATACACATTTTACTTTGCCACATTGTTATAGATCTGTGTTTATGGAATATGTAAGACTTTGGGTCTGTGTGATAAATGCCAAACTGAAACTAATTGTCCAAATCCAGAAATTTCAACCAGAAAAAAAACTATTTGTCTATTTATAAAAGTGAAATTTTACTATTTTTACCATATTTGTAATATAATTTGACTGCCTTGATTTACATATTAAAAGTTTTAAATACATATGCTAAATTGACCACTGGAAACAGATTGCAACTATTTTGAAACCAGGTCTGTCTTGATGACTGATGTCAAGGCACACAGTCCCCAACCCTGTCACACTCATCCTCTATCAGTCAGTCCCACACCCCCCTTCACACTGCCACACTCACATAAGCCCCTCCAATCCTGTCCTCCAACTGTGCCACACTGACCCCAAGCCCTGTCACACTCTCCCCCCATCCCTGCCACACTCACCCTTCCACATTAATCTAATCCTGCCACTTTAACCCCCTCATTCTGTTACACTGCCTCCTCCAAACATGGCACGTTCACCCCAACCCTGTGATACACCCTCCAACTATGCCACATGCAGCCTGTCACATTAACTTCCTCCAATCCTGTCACACTTCCCCATGCCCTGTCACACTCCCTCTTCCAATAATGTCACAATTGCCCCCCTATCATTCTCACTGTCCCTCATTCTGTTACACTCACTCCCCCAACCCTGTCTCATAAACCCCCTCACCCTGTTACACTCACACAGTTACCCCTAGCACAGTTACCCCTTTACTCACCATGTCACAAACTGAAGACATTCATCATACACACATGCACAAAGGTTACAGGCAGCCCCCATAAACACCACACACCACAAGTAGCTATCCCACACACATAAGGTCCCAGACACATACTCATAAAGACGCAGAAACACGCCTTTATGCACATACACAGGTAGACAATGCTAGACACAGTCAGAAATACACACACTGGCCATAATGTATACACGACTGCAAGGCTATGTAATCATACCCCGCAGTCGTGTATAAATGATTAGCATAATTGCTAAATAAATCTGTTTATTGCAAATTAATTTAGTTTGCAAATTATGCCATAACTACAGTCGGAGAGCTCACAACACAGCGACACTGCAAGCCTCTGAACAATTATACACACAATGCAACTCCTATTTATTTTTTTACTTTGGGTGTTGGGGGGGCCTCATGTTTGAGTTTCGCCTAAGGCCTCACAAAGTCTAGAGCCGCCACTGGCTGTATAGATCATGCCTGTGCAGTCTCAATGCTAAATGCTCAACCATTTTGAAAGGAAACCTCCCCTGCTGTAGAAGTTTTTTTCTCCTGCTCTTTAAATTGAACGTTAATCAAACACAAGGAACCCCTGCATGGTCTAGAAGGCTAACAGAGAAGGAGATAAAACAATTCAAAATAAAACAGAATGTGCAACAAAGTAAGTTTAAACATTAGATCTTTACAAGAAGTGTTTAGGAAAACTGTGCAGGTCACATGCAGGGGGCTGTATAAAGAAAGTGATTTTATTTCTAAATAGCAGAGAATTGAGTAGTGAGACTGCATGGGGCATGATTTATACACCAAAACCACTCAATTAATCTAAAGTTGTTTTAGTCCCTGTTGTGTCCCTTTAAATTGCAACATTCAGGAAAAGAATGTTTTCTTTCACGACAAATGAACGTTTTCCTGGAACCAAGACTGAATCTAGCAACATCCAACTGTCAACTACAGGTACGAAATTCAGCACCGCTATCAATTTTAACAGAACAGACTCAATTGTAGCGGATGGAGCTGCAACGTATTTATTTATCAAGCTCCCAACAATATTATGGATATGTCATTATCAAAGTATAATGAGGTTTATTTGATATTTATTTCAAATAAAATAAACGGGTTTCTGTGTTAATGCTATGTGTAGAACATGGGTTCCTTACAAAAATGTTAAGAACCACTACACTAAAACATGGCAACTCACAAGGATGACTTTAAGAAAGGGATTATTAGACAATAAAGAAAATCCAATGCTCATGTTTCGTGTAGACGCAGAGTCGGTTTGCTGTGTTAGCTTTTCCTATTATCCCATGAGGTTACACAGCTCCAAAGGTAAAAAGTCACATGCAAACAGGAAAACATAGTCCTCGAACAGACATTACATGAACATACGTTAATACTTATTTACTACATTCCACATTTTTCCAAATAATATCTGAATGACAAAACTCAACCTGATTTGTAAAAAAATCTCAAATGAAGTTATAGTCACTTGATTATTTTTGCCTTAATTTTTGCCATTTGGATTTAATGGGACGAAAACAGTTTGTGAATAACACTATACTGTCTAGTATAATAAAAGTAAAAGCCACATGTTACACTAAACAAATATATTTAACATTTATATCTTAACTCTATCCTGACATATGTGCATTGTAAACTGTTGAGTCATTCGATATCTCTGCATAAATGTTACAGCTACATATCATATTATCTTTTTGTTTGTGAGTTGTATGTGGTACCAACAAGATTCATATCAATGTAAACATTTTTCATAACACTGTGGGGTTTATTCACTAAACATTAAACTGCAGCAAACTGAAATTCAAATGGAAATTTAGTCAAAAATAAGCAATTTGAAAAAAATAAATAAAAAATAAATAAATATATATATATCCTCCCCAGGTTAAGTCACATTTTTGGATATTTTAGCCTCAATTTCGCAATTTCAGTTCACTGCAATTAAGTATTTAGTGAATACACCCCTTAAGAGTCAACACAGACCTGACAAACAACAGATGTAATCACTTTTGTATTCTAAAGCTCATATAAAGCAGCTCTTGGATGACAAAAATTTAAAGCTACAGGTTATTTATTTAACCCATCATGGAAACAAAGAGAATACACATCAGGTAACGTTTTCCTTGTGGATAGAGTTGAAAGTCCTTTGTGTAAGTAGGTGCATGGCAATATATTAACCCCTTAAGGACACAACTTTTGGAATAAAAGGGAATCATGACAGAATATTTCCGTCATGTGTCCTTAAGGGGTTAATATTTAACAAGCAGTGTCATTTAGGTTACAGGGCATAAATGATGGCCATGCACATACCGCACTATGCAAAGTCAGTATACATGCATATTGCTTATATCTAAAGCACACATTTTGTAGTACTTTAGGAAGGTGACAGTGATGCTTATTGTACGCAATGTAAAATAAGAGGCACTAAGGGTATTCTCTAAAGTCTGAATTGCAGCAAATTAAAATATGCATGGCAATATGCAGGTAAAAATAGATGATCTGGAAACAAAATCTCCAAATACAGATACAGATTGACCAATTTAGCTTTTGTTTTAGCATTCCGATTTTACATTAACACTATAGGGCCAGGAACACAAACATGTATTCCTGACCATAGAGTGTTAAAAGCACCATCTAGCACCACCCCTTCCCGACCTCCACCTTGTAAGTAAAATCTTACTTTTGTTCAAGCCTGCAGCTGCTGGCTCTGCCTCGGACCTGTATGGCTGACATCATCAGAAGTGGTGGTCAGAGCCAATCACAATGCTTTCATGTAGGATTGGCTGAGACTGTCAATGAAGCAAATCAGGGGAAGAGCCAAACACAGTGTCTCCATGCAGAGGGTGGAAACACTGAATGGCAGTGCTGCACATAGCACTTTCCTAGGAAGCACCTCTAGTAGCCATTTGAGGAGTGGCCAGTAGAGTTATCCCTAGACTCTGCAGTGTTTACTGCAAAAAGCCTGACGGGGATGATACTCACCAGAACAAATACAATAAGCTGTAGTTGTTGTGGTGACTATAGTACCCCATTAATTAATTTTTCTATTCATAGGTTAGTCAATGACTGACTCCTACCCTGTGTAGTCTAGTGAAAAGTGATCATATTTTTTTCACTAACTATACAAAGGCAGCCTGGTGTTATAAATATTCCTTATTATACACTGACTTTAAAAATCGGGACTGTTGAGAATCTTGTATTTACAAATGTTTAAATTAATAAACTTTTATGTGTTGCAAAACTTGTAATTCAAATCATAAAGTATAAAAATGCAAATATAGCCAAGTTGGAGCATCTCTCTAATTTGGCTATTTTTATTGAAAGTTTGGAGTTTTTGATGCACAGTAATTTAGTGAATATATCCAACGGTGTTTAATCTGCCTGGTACTCTAAGAGAATTTTTGTACTGAATGTAATGTTTATTTTAGTCGGATAAATGTATGTGAAAGCATTTTAACTATATACAAATGAGGCCTTTTAATTCAATGTTAAGCCAGAGCAGCAAGAGGCTTGTGGTTTGTGCAAGCAAGGTCACCCCACTGTCACCCCACTGTAGGGAGCTTGTAGTCAAGAGGAGGATGAAACATAGATGTGATTAAAACAATATTTTTTTGTTTTTTTGATTGTGCAGAAAACATGAGAAGCGGGAGAGTGTTAACCTAAAAAAAAATAATACAAATTATCATACAAACACTCAAACACACTCAGGATTATTCATTAAAGTCCAAATTGTTAAAGATTAAAACTTGCTTCTATTTTATTTAATCACAAACAAATAAATTACACTAAATTTAAAGGTTGTGAATATAGCTAGATTGGAATACTTTTACAGATCTGCTATTTTTATTTAAATTTTGCCATTTTAATTTCACTGTGCTATAATTGTTTGGTGAAAAGCCCTTTTGAATAAGATAATTTTTCCATTTGTTCCCTATTGACCTAGAGTTTGAAGTCCACCAGTCAAAGCCTGTCATTTCCCTGGAAATAAATACACCTTAGCCACATATACTCTAGAATGATCAATTTAAGGCAACTGCTGTCACTGGATCTACTAACAAACTATGGACGTAGATGTGCTGTGTAGTAGTAATGCAGGTATCGCTCAAATACTTACCCTGCGTGACTTGAGTCACAAATGAGTACTAAATTATTCTGGACATAAGAATAGGTTTATGTTTAGCCTTCCTTTAAGTAGAACCGTAACAGTCCACATTTTGCTGTTTGAGTTCAGGTGGGTCAATGAATATTGTCATTTTAACTTTCTCAGGTGTGCTCAAACAGTGTTGCTATTTGACCTTCCAAAGGACCTACAAGTAAAACAAATTGCTGTGTTGGATAGCCAAATAATGTGTCTGGTGCAAAATGTTCTAAATCATAAAAGCAATTTCAATGAAGAGCATGAGTAAGATTGCTAAAAGAGTAATTACTATTATGTGGTTCTACTCCTTGCTATAGCTTAGTTCAGATGCATAAAAGATAATTTTTTTTACCCCCGCCAAGATATTTATTTAACATACCGTATATACTCGAGTATAAGTCGAGTTTTTCAGCACGTTTTTTGTGCTGAAAAACCCCCACTCGACTTATACTCGAGTTAATGTCTGTATTATGGCAACATACATTGCCATAATACAGACCAGGACCGCCGGGCTCATTACAAGCCCGGCGGTCCTGTTGGGGGCTGGCAGTGAGCTGTAACTTACCTTCCTGCAGCTCCTGTCAGCTCCCTTCTCCTTCGTGCAGCTCCTCTGTCAGCTCCCACTGGAAGTCTCGCGAGAGCCGCGGGGTCACCACGGTTCTCGCGAGACTTCCAGTGGGAGCTGACAGAGGAGCTGCACGGAGGAGAAGGGAGCTGACAGGAGCTGCAGGAAGGTAAGTAACCGCTCACTGTCAGCCCCCCCTCCAACACAGCCCATACACTGGACCACCAGGGAGTGAGAGCCCCCCTCCCTGGCCAGCTAACAAGCAGGGAGGGGGGACGAAAATTAAATAAATAAAAAAAAATACAATAAAAAAACTTAAAATATATAAAAAAATTATAATAAAAATGCCCTCCTCCCACCCAGTTCACTCACACACACACACACACACACACACACACACACACACAAACAATCTGCATTCTACACACACACTCATACAAACACACACACACTCTGCATTAAATACACACAGAGTGTGTGCGTATATAATGCAGAGTGTGTGTGTGTTTGTATGAGTGTGTGCGTATATAATGCAGAGTGTGTGCTTGTATGAGTGTGTGTGTGTAGAATGCAGATTGTTTCTATGAGTGTGTGTGTATAATGCTGAGTGTGTGTTTGTATAAGTGTGTGTGTGTATATAATTCTAAAAATCACAGAATTTCATAGCCCCAAGTTTTACCCTCGACTTATCCACGAGGCATAGCATATTTCACAATTGTTGGTCACAAAACTGCCCTCGACTTATACATGAGATCGACTTATACACGAGTATATACGGTATATACCTTGCAATTGTTACTTTGTTTTCTGAATTTAGATCAGTTTATAGGGGCACTATAGCCAGTGGCATATTTCCCACAAGGCTAACAAGGCATTTGCCCTGGGAGGCACTTTCAGGGGGGCAAAACATACCCCCCAGCCCCCTGTCAGATGCCTTGTAGGCCTTTTTCATGGGGACCCAACAGCTGGCCGACTGGCCACCTCAGTTCCCCATAAGGCGTTCAGATTGCTCACATTACGGGTGGGGTGCGAGGGAATATGACGTCACTCCGGCTCCCAGCATCACTAAGCGGCGTGCAAGGGAGCTGAGCAGGATGATTTAAAAAAAAATATATATATAACATGTAAGTGTGTGAGACAATGTGTGTAAGTTTGTCAGTATCAGGGTGTCTGCCAGTGTGTGTCTGTTGGTGAATGTATGTGTGTCTGTGAGTGAGTGGATGAGGGGGTGTCTGTCAGCATGTCAATGTGTCTGTGAGTGAATGTCTGCGTGTCTTTCACTGTGAGTCTGTGAGGGAATGAATGAATGAATGTGTATCTATCAGTGTGTGTGTCTGTGAGTGAATGTGTGTGTGTTTGTCTGTCAGTGTGTGTCTGTGTGTGAGTATATATCTGTTAGTGAGTATATGTGTCTTTTATTGAGAGTATGTGCCTATCAGTGAGTGGGTGTATTACTTCTGCCTGGAAGTCTGTGCCGACCAATAGGAGAAGGAGCTCCATTCGCGCCATTCTCCTGATAGGTCGGCATGAGTGAGTGCTGATTGGTCGCTGTGGGGCGCAGACGACCAATCGGAGAAGAATAGCCCATGCAAACTGAGTTTCGCGACCTTTCTCCTGATTGGGTGGCGAAACTCCTCTCCTCCCCGAGCGCTGATCGGTGCAAACGGGTTTTGCGCCTTTCAGCTGATTGTTTTTTACTTGGTTTAGGTGCAAAGTTTGAATTCACAAGACTAAACCAAGCAACACTGTGGAACTGATTTCGGGGATGTACAGAGCCTCGAGCCCCAGACTTTATGCAATGTTTTCTCAGGCTCTGTACATCCAATAGCCCCGCTATTTGTAGGGATCCTAGCTGGGACCCAGGGATATGCAGAGATGTACCCCATTTCCTTCCCAGGGTGTGGAGCCCCTAATTGTTCCCCCATATATGTAATGTGTTTTACTGTTTGTAATATGTTTTAATGTACGTAACTGTGTCCTGTTGGTATCTCCCAGAGCGGGAGATGGTGATCTGTAACCCATCCCCCTTCTCCTGCTGGGGACAAAGCAAAGTGTATTGAAAGAGTGGAGACCCTCTGTGGGGTCTGTGCATAAAAGCTGTGTGTACCAATGAAGGATTGTCAGTGGTTTTACCTCCAGAACTGTGTGGCGTCCAGTTACTGGGGGAAAATGGACCAGGTAAGAAGCAGGGAGGGGGGAATAACATTTATTAAATTTAATGTGGAAAAAATGCTCCATTTGCACATCATTTACACAACATGCATACTCTAGTACAACACCCACTCTGCATTCACTACACACTTACACACACTCTGCATTCATTACACTGACACACACTCTGTATACACTACACTAACACACACTCTGCATTCACTACACTGACACACTCTCTGCATTCACTACATTAACACACACTCTGCATTAACTATACACACAGCATCCACTACGCAAACATCTTGCATTCACTATACCTGGAGCTATTTTTAGTGGCCACAAACTGACAGGTGAGCTGTGTGCAGAGCACAGAGTGAGATAGGCATGCAGCTCTCTCAATGGGGATTTAAATCACCATAGACAGCAATGTAGTGTGAGTAGGGTTAAATCCTTGCTCACACCAGGAAACCCAGGCATCAATGGATATAACACTGCATATAGTCCTATAAACCCATAGCCATCAACTCAACCACAGTGATTCTCTCACTGGATTTAAAAATAGGAAGCTGTTATTCTGAAAATAGCCAGTAGATGGCAGCAACATACCACTCTGTTTTTTCTTAGATTTCCCTTTGCTAATATCAGTACTTTGGGATAAGGATTATGATTAAATTAGGGATTAAGAGTATGAATTATGTTTCGGTTTAGACTAAATATTAGTTTTAGTATTAGCTTTATATTAAAAATGGATTTAGTATTAATTTTAGAATTGGTGTTTGGTTTCAGATTATATCTTGGATTAGGATTAGGGCCAGCAATATCTCTGCTGAAATCTGCATGGGAATTCATCTGCTTGCATCAGCAAAGGGAATCCTTCCAACACTATTTATAGGTTTAGGATTGAGATTAGGATTAAGGTTATAATTAGGGTTAGGTATAGAATTAGGGTGTGGGTAAGAATTTATTATTATATTTAGGGTTAGATTTGGGATTTGATTTAGAATTAGGTAAAAGATTAAGGAGTTAGACTGGGAATAAGATTAAGATTAATTTGCAACGGTATACAAAATCATTTTACTACAGTGGGATACATGAGATATAAAAAATAAGCAGAAAAAAATACAATGTATATGTAAAATTAGAAAACAAAGTTTTTTGTTTTTTTTTAAAGGTGAAAAGATGGCACCTCACTAAAATATATCATGTGAAAGTCTTCATGATGTCCACGTTTGCAAATGGTATGCATTAATGTAGTAATTTAAATATCTGAGCTTCTCAAATGCCTTGCAATGTATCATAAACCCATCTGCATTTAAAAAAAAACAAAAAAACCTGCAATGAGTAGGTTATACATTTAGCTCTGTATTTTCACAAAACAACTTGACAAGGGTATACAAACGGGGGTATTGTGTATTCAGGAGATATAATTGAGCACAATTTAGTGATTTTTATTACAGTAGCACAAGTTTAGAAAGTATAATGCTAAATTGCAACGTGCATGTAAACAATTTGAAAATAAAATAATACCATAAACTGTAAAATAAATCAGTGCAACAATGGCAGTATAATAAGGTTTAAAATGTACCAAATGACATACCCCATGATGTCTACTTTCACAAACAGTTTGCATTTATGGGGTAATTTTAACTATCACATTGCTATTATGCTCCACAAATGCTGAATAGGCCCATTAAATCATCTATTAAAATTCTAACTGTAAAAACTGAAATACACTGGTCAATATGGCACTGTAACTTCACATGATAGTGCCAAAGGCATACATTCAGGGTATTGTTTTATTCAGAAGAGTTTGCTTAGCATAATTTAGGAAGGGATGAGTGGCACATATGAGATTTGAAAAATACCTAGATAAAATGTAATGTATATGTAACAAATGGCAAAAAAATTTTTACCAAAAACTTTGGCATAAACTGAAATGGCAACACATAAACTGAAATGGCAACACATTAAGGCACAACAGACACAATATGAGATACCCTGCAGTGTCTACTTTTGCAAATGGTAGGCCTTTGTTAACCTGAACAATCAAACTGCTATAGCGCCCCAAAATGAGCCAAAAGCCCAACAAGTCAGTCTCTCAAATTCTAACTGTAAAAACTGAGATGGTCAGAACTCTTAAATGATGCTCACAGGGTAGTGGGAAAGACATGCATTGTGGGTATCTTGTATTGGGTAGGGGACATTATCGGGTTTTGCATAGTGGTAGCACACGTCAGTTTACAAAATACACATAAAAAAACGTTGTTATACATATGCACGTTAAAAATCAGAAGTACACAACATTTTACTCCAATAGTTAGCAAAGATTGACCGTTAAATTGCTACACAATAAGTGTCAAAAAACCTTTAGGTAACTAGCCTGTGATGTCTACTTTATATAAATATATACTTTTGTGTGGTAATTGTGTTTTATGTGATGCCTATTAAGCTTACCAGACAAACATTTTTCTCCACATTGAAATTATGCTATATGTATTTTGTGACCTTCAACTATCAAAAATAAACTGTAATCCTAGATTTATTATGTACTCTGTAAATAAGTACAAATACATTTCTAATTTATTTTTAATTACTTTTCATAAGCCGCAATAATTATACACACAGTATATTTGCCATAATAGTAAAAAAAATGCTTTATTTCATTTTGCATTGTTGTGTAATTTTGGTATTATAAATGAGAAGTTATATATGTATATGTCACAATAAATTAAAGCCTGTTCTATCTATAAACAATATAAATGTATGTGAGAACTTCCTAAATTATGGTGGAAAGCTCAAATTCAACGTTTTGTTTTGCTTCAGAACATGGACAATGCCTCCTTCCTTAAGGGGTTAAACATCTCTATATTTTATTTCAACTTCGAGTTTATATATTTTTTATCCCCTTACACATTATTCTCATCCACGTGATTATCACTCTTCCTCTGTATTTGTCCACACATTTATCCTCCTTTGTGTACACATGCCCCACCTCTCCAGAATAAGCATCTTTCCCTCCTTCCTTGAAATGTTTTTGTCCGTTCCACATTTTTTTTGTCTCATAGTCCCATAATTGTTCTTTGACTCTTTCATTCTCCCCACATCGTTGCATCACTGTCACTCATTGAATTTTTGTATTAGATGTATAAGTAGATCAACAAAAACAAAACAATAGCAAAAACTGACCTTATCAAAAGTCTGTGTGCAACCAATCCACCATATTGTAGACATAAATCTGAGGATTCCCAACACCCATAGCCAACTCCCTGTGCTTGAAACAGAATATGCCGATTTTTAGATTTGTGCATTGGGATTTGGCTGAAATGCAATTTAGCCGCATTTAGGTTGATCGTCTGAGTAGCTGAATTCCAAATTTCCAAAGTGCCTTGCATAAGTATAACAATGGCCAAACATGTTTATTGATTCGGTATTCAGGGTTGCAAAACAAAGAGATGATCAGTGGGCAAAAAGATGTTAGGCAGCCAGAGGGCAGCCACTAAATTAATTAATTTACTTTTTTTATTCACAGATGAAGTGATAAGTGGCCAAAAGAGGGAAAAAAAGGAGGAGCAGTAAAAAAAAAAATCTATTTATTGGAAGAATATCTTGGAAGAATATCTGGGAGCAAGAAGTATCTCATAACACCGAGGCCCAGTGGCTACTACACCTGAAAGCAGACTACTGCATGCTACCAGAACTGGAACCAATCATCATCATCACAGTCGATATATAGCTGGTCAGCCCCAGGACCTGACACTATCCACAACTACTGGATAAAGAAGTTAACAGCTCTGCATGAACGCCTAGCAGCACAAATGAACCAGCTACTAGCAACAGGCTCCCACCCTGACTGACTAACACAAGGCAGAACAATACTGGTCATGAAGGACCCTCATAAGGGAACAGCACCATCCAACTAGCGACCAATAATCTGCCTCCTCACAACATGGAAACTCGTGTCAGGCCTCATAGCCTCCAAGATCCAAGGGCATATGAGTCAATATAAGAGCAATACTCAGAAGGGGATTTAAACACCACCAGAGGATAAAAACACCAAGTAATGGTAGACCAAGCAGTCACAACGGATTCTAAGATCAGACAGACCAATCTGTGTACGACCTGGATTGACTACAAGAAAGCCTATGACACAATGCCACACTCGTGGATACTGGAATGCTTGACTCTCCACAAGGTCAGCAAGACAATAAGAGCCTTCATCAAAAACTGGATGGGCAAGTGGAAAACAACTCTAGAAGCCAATTCCAGGACAATAACTCAAGTGAACATCAAATGTGGCATATACCAAGGTTATGCACTATCCCCAATGCTGTTCTGCATAGGCCTCAACCCCCGTAGCCAGATCATTAAGAAGAGTGGATATGGCTACAAGTTCAAGAGTGGAGCTACCATCAGCCACCTACTCTACATGGATGACATCAAGCTGTATGCACCCCCTGCACTAACACACAAACACACTGCACCCCTTGCACTAACACACAAGCATACTCACACACAAACACACTACACACACTATACCCCTATATACACACTACACCTCCTGCACTTACACACAAACACACTGCACAGATGCTATACCTCTCTATAAATATTACACACACTCTATATCCCTGTATGCTCATTACACCCTCTGCACTCACACAAACACACTATACACACTCTATACCCCTTATATACACACTATACCCTGAGCACTCACATACGCACAGTGAACACACTCTATACCGCCTAAACAAACACTACACTCCTTGCACTCGCATACTTTATACCCCTATAAACACTATATATTACACCCCCTGCATGCACACACACCAATTTATATCCCCTATAAATACACATTCTGCACCCCCTGTACACACTACACCACCTATGCATACATTGCCGCACCTATACACATGTGCTCTACAGCCCCTATATGCATACACACACTAAAGCCCCTAGATACACTCTATCTCACCATGTGAGGGTGCTTCATACTTTCTGGCCCTGCCCCTCCTAGTGGGCTGATCTGCCTTGAATTGCCCAGGCTGAATTTTTGTCCCAGTCCAGCCCTGTTCCTAACCATTCTATTTGGGCCGAAATATTTTTAGTCTATTGTCCGTTCACTCCTTGTTTAGGGTTCGGACCAAAAGGTTATGAGTAATGGAATCAATAACTAATCTTCTATCTCATAATATCCTGTGTATGTATACGTTAATACAATGTTATTCTACTCACCAAAATGTAATATACAATAACAAGTGAAGCTACAATTTACTTGTGTCTACTTCAATTTCTAGAGATCTAGATTTATTTCACCAACCTGGTGGAAACATATAAAAAGCAATATAACTGTCTCTGTGAATGAACTTGGTTCAAAAGCTGTATTCGATTTTATATATATCAAAACAAAATCTGAAACAATCCGACCTGGTGACTTATATCTACCAGAAAATTGCATCATTGTGATTACTACACTCTATTATATTTGTCTGACTGCTTCTAGTGGTGGCAAACAAAAAGAATGAGATCGCGGGACAGCGACTCAGTCAACTGGGAGGACCAGCCATCACTGAACTAAAACTAGCACAAACCTTGGAAAGACGTGACAACAGTTGGTTGTGACTGGCTCTAATTGTATTGTTATGTTAGGAAATGTAACAAAATCACTGTATAACTGGCTTTTTAACTTTCAAAACATCACCAATTTAAAAGTCAGCAATTCAAATACATATTTATGTAGGAAGAAAAATATTTTTTTTTGTGTGTTAACTCCTATTTATATTAAATAAAGACTCTTGTTCGTCAAATTCAATGCTTTGAATGGCATTGAGAAAAATATATTAAAAATGCAATAAAGCAATCTACAATTGTACTGCAAAAATATGTCAGACTAAAAAGTCAGACTAAATCTAAAATCTATTATTAATAATATTAAATTAAAACATAGGAGTTTACATGCTGATCTTATAACAAATCATCTAGCCCGGGGGAGTTAGAGATGTGGCCCACTAGGCTTGCATTTGGTGTGCAGGGCTTGAGTTCAGAGATTAGACTTTGGAGCAGTATTCTAACCCTACCTACTGGTTTGACTTCTGGTTGAGCAACTACATCAGAAGTGCATTGGGATTTGGCTGAATTGCGATTTAGCCGCATTTAGGTTGATCGTCTGATTAGCTGAATTCCGAATTTCCAAAGTGCCTTGTGTAAGTAAAACAATGGCCAAACATGTTCATTGATTCGGTATTCAGGGTTGCAAAACAAAGAGATGATCAGTGGGCAAAAAGATGTTAGGCAGCCAGAGGGCAGCCACTAAATTAATTAATTTACTTTTTTTATTCACAGATAAAGTGATAAGTGACCAAAAGAGAAAAAAAGGAGGAGCAGTAAAATAAATAATCTATTTATTGGAAGAATATCTGGGAGCAAGAAGTATCTCATAACACCGAGGCCCAGTGGCTACTACACCTGAAAGCAGACCACTGCATGCTACCAGCACAGTAACCAATCATCATCATCACAGTCGATATATAGCTGGTCAGCCCCAGGACCTGACACTATCCACAACTACTGGATAAAGAAGTTAACAGCACTGCATGAACGCCTAGCAGCACAAATGAACCAGCTACTAGAACAGGCTCCCACCCTGACTGACTAACACAAAGCAGAACAATACTGGTCATGAAGGACCCTCACAAGGGAACAGCACCATCCAACTAGTGACCAATAATCTGCCTCCCCACAACATGGAAACTCGTGTCAGGCCTCATAGCCTCCAAGATCCAAGGGCATATGAGTCAATATAAGAGTAATACTCAGAAGGGGATTGGAAACAACACCAGAGGATCAAAACACCAACTACTGGTAGACCAAGCAGTCACAACGGATTCTAAGTCAGACAGACCAATCTGTGTATGGCCTGGATTGACTACAAGAAAGCCTATGACACAATGCCACACTCATGGATACTAGAATGCTTGACTCTCCACAAGGTCAGCAAGACAATAAGAGCCTTCATCAAAAACTGGATGGGCAAGTGGAAAACAACTCTAGAAGCCAATTCCAGGACAATAACTCAAGTGAATATCAAATGTGGCATATACCAAGGTGATGCACTATCCCCAATGCTGTTCTGCATAGGCCTCAACCCCCCAAGCCAGATCATTAAGAAGAGTGGATATGGCTACAAGTTCAAGAGTGGAGCTACCATCAGCCACCTACTCTACATGGATGACATCAAGCTGTATGCCAAGAATGAGCGGGACATTGACTCACTGATCCACCTAACCAGGATATACAGCAAGGACATTGGAATGTCATTCGGACTAGAGAAGTGCGGGCGGATGATAGCAAAAAGAGGGAAGATGATCAGGACAGAAGGAGTTGAAGTTCCAGAAGGCCAAATAGAAGATGTATAGAAAAGCTAAAAGTACCTGGGAGTACCACAAATGCATGGCAACCATGAGGAAGAGGCAAGGAGGATAGCAACATCTAAGTATCTCCAAAGAGTCAGACAGGTCCTGAAGTCCCAGCTCAATGGCAAGAACAAGATCCAGGCCATCAACACATATGCCCTACTGGTTATCAGCTACCCAGCTGGAATAATAACCTGGCCAAGAGAATAACTGGTCACCATGGATGTCAAGACCAGGAAACTACTCACTATGAATGGAGGATTCCAGCCGAAATCCAGCACCCAGAGACTGTACACCTGACGGAAGGAAGGAGGTCGGGGCCTGATGAGTGTCAATGCCACAGTCCTGGATGAAACACAGAGTATCCACAAGTACATCACGAATATTAGTATTGGTTCCACAGAGCTGCTGTAGAAGACAGTGGATCTGATCAGTTTTTCATCTGTCTGCCTCATTGTGCTGTGCTTGGCGTCCTGCACTCAATATCACCTTAGCAGCACAGTGGACGAGGAAGTGCAACTACAAAGGGCAACAGAAGGTTAAGGTTTGTTGCGATGGACATATCTTATGGTACTGTGACTTTTATTGTCACAGGCCTGCGTGATAACTTTCAAATTACATTCAGCCCTCTAATGAAACTTTCATCAACATCCAAACACCCCATTACTGTTCTTATAGGTATATGTTGAGTTAAAGTTAACCAGTCATGGCAGGTTCATTTTAACACAAACCTTCTCAAAATGCATTGAATACATTGTGTATTCAACATAAAGTTTTGAGATATTTACTCACCTTACCTCTGATCCACCACCACCATGCCCTCAGTTTTTTTAGTTGTTTTTCTTCTGTAACACCCACCTTTTGGTTTTTCTTTTATCTCCATTGAATGTGGAATGTATTACATTGATGCTTGCAAATGTGGAGCACCAGAGTTCCCAGTTTGCGCTATAAGAGCTTGAATAGCCAATGCCCTTGTCTTTAGGGCATCAATACAAGTTGACTATTTTTTTCTCTGACATCCATATGGCTGATGTATCTCATTCAAACAATCTGCTAAATGTTGTTAAGATACTTAAAAATACCAGTGTTTCCTCCGACATATGTCTACCTATGGATCAGATCTGAAGCCATCAAAAGCATTTATATTCCAAAAACAGAGAGATGGAATGTAGCTGAGTACCCCAGACACATCATGGACTTTAAAGAAATGAAGGTGTAACTGTTGAACATTGGGTAAAAAAAGTTGATGTATCAGCATTTTGTTACCTAAAGATGTGAACAGAGATTGGCAGATTTGTTTAGCAAGATGTCATGCAGCAGACATAGAGTCTGTGAATGTTCTTGTCTTATCCTGAGAAGTCTCTTTCCATGTGCTCCATTATGGCAGCTGTGATGTAGGGATGTAATGATAAATGGCTTCCACGACCTTCCGAGGTTTTTAAAGGCCTTTGAAATGCATGAAATGCAAACCAAAAAAATAAGACAAGTCTCATCTTATGTGGCTGCAATGAGTGAGCCAACCTTGTATATTACATTTTCTTTTGAAAATAGGTTCCAGCAATTACTAATTGTATTAAAACACTGAATGTATTAAAATGTGCATTTTAAATATATCAGGGATTGATTCACTACAGGCCAAATGGAAACTGTCAAGCAGTTGAATGGATTTTGGTTATCACATTTTTCTGTTTAACCCATTGAGATATTTAACCGAACTTCCATGTCAATTTAGCTGCAGTTTAGTAGTCCTTTGAAATCTCTTGAATCTCTGTCTAATATGAGTGAATTGGCTACAGTACTCACAAGTAAATTTATTGCAGTCAGATTGCAATTGAATTGATCATGGGAAAATCCACTTAAAGCTCTATGCCCCTTAATCCTAAATCATCCTCATGTTGTCTCAAATACCAATCCAACCCTCTCAGACCAAATCCATACCTCCCAAGTGTCCATATTTAGAACTGACAGTCCCTAATTTGGGCCCAAATCCATCTGTCCCTCTTTTCTGCCCTAATGTCCCTCTATATCAGGAGTCCCATAGGTATAACAGAGCTCCACAGCAATAAAAGGTCACCTAAGGACTCATCTCTGGTCACAATTCTACTCACTCCCAAAACATTAAAGTGTCCCTCTCTGTCAATTAGAAATGTTGGGAGAAATGCAACTCTAAATTCTCCATCCAAACCAGATTGACCTATTTTCAAATTAATCTCACCGCAGTAGTGAGATCCATTTGGAAATAACAGGGATCTATTTGGCTCAATGTTGTGACAATTCAGTTCTTATTGAATACACAGAGGACGTTGTTACAACTATTTGCATTGAGTTGAGCTGAGCCAGCTCAACTCATTGCAAAAAATTTGAAAGCAAAATAGGTGTGAATAGACCACATCACTCCAATTATACCTGGGAAATATTAAGAGCTGCACTTGATTCAGCAGAACAAGTTAAACACTGACAGTGACTGTCTGTGTTGAAAATGCCAATCATTAACATCTTAAGGGTTTATTCAAGAGACTCTTACGATAAATAGACTTTGGTTTTCAATTCACTGTTTAATGAATGAACACTTTAGAATTTGACTCTGGATCTCAAGATTTTTACATTTCAGGGGATATTGTAAAAGATGAGCCAACCCTTCATATTTTAGGCCTGTTTTATATTTCACAATTGATCGTTTGTATGCAAATGTCACTGAAGATGAGTAACTTAATGATATCTTGGCTTCTAAAGAGTGCAAGGCTTTAGTAGGGCAGAGGGTGAATAAAACGCATTGATAAGGAGAATCATAGCAATGGGCTATTATTATTGGGATATTAAGAGGTTATATTAATTTGTGTTTCCAGATCAGCTAGGCATGTAAGCAGTATGAAAAATTGTATGTGCATATATAAATATTGATATGTAAATATTAAATATTTACATAAAATTGGATATTGGAAGCAGAATTCTAATTTACTTTATGTTTGCATTTAGTGACGTTAGTATCAATTCCTCTTCCTCCCCGTACCTTTCCATAGAATATGTTAGCGATTTTCCAGTGGCTGTATTGCTGCAGTCTTTCAGTTTGGATTGATTATGGGATAAGTAGCGTTTGGCTGAGGGTTGCCGTGAATGTAAAGATTTAAGTAATTCAAAGTCAGGTTAGTTTGGCTGATAAAACGTTGCACAGTCATTAGGGAATAGAATCTCTCTTGTCTTTCTTTGGATTCATATTAGTTGTGATGTTATAAACATCAGATTCTCAGCACAGAATAAATCCAGACCCAACCCCACTTTAGGTCTTAAATAAAACATGTGATTGCCCTAGTTCAGAAAGCATGCAAGCACAGAATACACTGGAATTATGGTATAACAGGAAAATGCATTTCAACACATAATCTTTGCATGTTACCATAGAGGAGGTAATAAAAGTCTCTCTTAGCAAACAGTAAAGGAATGAATTTTGTTGTGACATTTATGTTACTGCCTGGTCTTAATGAGTCCTGTTTCTCAATGGTTCCTTGATGCTACCTACAGACTGATCAGGAAATAAAGTAAATGTAACATTGTGACGGACCGCTGGCACTCCGACTGAGTACCTCCGCCAATCGATGCTCCTAGTGCTCGCTGAGGACTCCAAGCACTCCAACTGACACCATCAGCACTGCAGACCCCACTTCAAGCGATGCAGCTGCGCCGGGGTCTCACTGTCTCCACCCACCCTGGACCCAAGGCCAAGATCCAGCTTTTAGTGGGTTAACCTCTCTTTCCCCAGAGAGCAGGAACAGGAACAAGCTCTTAGCAGAGCTTAGTGTTCATACCCTGGGGAGTATAGTGAATATAGCAATCCCCAGAGTGTATTTCTCCAATCCCCCATACATGAGCCAAGGCTTCAAGAAAGGTACAAGATGATCTGGTTTTAATGACCACATACTGATTTTTATGCAAGTCCCCATGCAAGGGGACATCTCACAGGGTGGGACACAGTATAACCAATCACAGACAATACAAACAAAACACTCCCACAGTGACATCACAATCCCTCCTCTCTATCCTGGAGATAATTGGGAAGTAATCAAATTATCTCCCAGGACAGAGGCAAGACTCCATTAACCACATGGTTACAAAAAGACATAAAATTACACAATGTTACAATTACTACATAAAACATATACATGCAACATATCCCCAGATAGCTTAGATCTGAGTGCACATTATTATTGAATGGCGCTCAGATCACATACATACAATTCAATTGCCATGGAGCCAAAGTCTTTTCCATAGTCTGTCATTCCACGAATTGGCTGCATGGCATTGCTATCTGGGGTAGCACTACTCACATACTGGAAGTCCCGAACAACCCGGCAGAAATACCCAAATAAACCTTATTGCAGGGTAAAATACAGCTATCAGCACAGAGGCCATAGACGGAAGGCAGGAGGCTAGCCAGTAGTCCCCTCCAGGCACAAGTGGCGAAGGGCACTTCGTCACAAACATGTATTAATGTCATGTCTTGGTTCAGGCCGGAACCCAAGTACAATGTGTACTCTCAGTCCTGACAGTCCTCATTTCCAGTCCAGGTGATATTCATTTGATGCTCAATTCCAGTCCATATAATACTCACAGAATACTCTCTCAATCCACTTGATTCTCCTGGCATGCTCACTCCAAGTCTAGCTGAAACTCTTGCGACATTCACTCCCAGTCCAACTGGAAGTCTTGGAATATTTAATTCCAGCACATTAAATCCTGAGAAAATACTCACTTCCTGCCCAGAAAGTACTCACAGTATATTGACTCACAGCCCACGTCATACTGAGAGGATGCTCACTGGAGAACAGAAAATCTAGGGATACTCACTTTCAGCCCAGAAAATACAAACAGGATATTCATTGTAGAACAGAAACTCTTGGAATACTCACTCCCAGTCATGAAAATACTAACAGAATTTTGACTCTCAGCCCAGATAATACTGACAGGATGCTCACTGTGGAACAGAAAATCTAGGGATACTCACTCGCAGCCCAGAAAATACTCACGGGATACTCACTGAAGAGCAGAAACTCTTGGGTTACTTATTATTATTATTATTATTGCCATTTATATAGCACCAACAGATTAGCGCTTTACAATACTATGAGAGGGGGGATGTAACTATAAATAGGACAATAACAAGAAAACTTACACGAACAATAGGTTGAAGAGGACCCTGTTCAAACAAGCTTACAGTCTATAGGAGGTGGGGTATAAGACACATTAGGACAGGAAATATCAATCAAATAGGATGGGAGTGAAACAGACCTGGAGGAGAGAGTAAAGCACTGCCCTATAGGAGAGAGCAAGAGACAGGTATGTAAGGTAGAGGTTACTCTGGAAGGCCATAAGTTTTCCTGAAGAGATGGGTTTTAAGGCCCTTCTTAAATGACTTAAGACTGGGGGAGTCTGATGGTGGTAGGCAGGCTATTCCATAGGAAAGGAGCCGCCCGCGAGAGGTCCTGCAAGCGCAAGTTGGCTGTACGGGTGCGAGCAGCGGTCAGGAGGTGGTCACGGGCAGAGCGGAGGGAACAAGGAGGGGCATACCTATGAATCAGTGAAGAGATATAAGAGGGGCTAGAATTGTTCAGTGCTTTAAATGTATGGGTTAGCACTTTGAATTGACTCCTATAGGATACAGGGAGCCAATGTAAGGACTGGCAGAGGGGTGAGGTTTGAGAGGACCAACTAGAGAGGAAAATCAGTCTAGCTGCAGCATTCATTACAGACTGTAGCGGGGCAATACGGCTTTTGGGGAGACCAATCAGGAGAGGGTTACAGTAATCCATGCGGGAAATTACTAGAGCATGGACAAGCTCCTTGGTAGCATCTTGTGTAAGAAAGGGACGGATGCGGACTATGTTTTTAAGTTGGAACCTACATGATTTGGCAATAAACTGGATGTGAGGCTCAAAGGTGAGGTCAGAGTCAAGTATGATGCCAAGACAGCGTGCTTGCAAGGATGGACTTATGTGAATATCACTGACTTGAAGAGAGAGCGAGAGAGTAATCTCAGAGTCCATATGTAACTGGTAGGACATGTATCTCCTGTCCGAATGACACTCATGGCTCAAGATATTCACAAGAACTACACTACACCAGTCTAAATGACTTAAAAAATGTGTGTCCAAAAGTCCAGAGTGTATAAACACAAATATATCCAGGACACCTGCTCAGTGGGAGTAAGTGACCTTCAACAAAACTACAAGAATAATTTCAGTTAACCAAGCCATGAAGCCAAAAGAGAACAGATACAAACAATAAGACTGTGCAGAAACTCCGTAGCTTGTCCTTCAACTATAGTCAACCATGATCTGATATGCTAGCTCTTAAACCTTGTGTTATTTTGCTTTCCATAGCACTTAGAACTTCTAAATCTTTTATTATGGTGAATTATTACTCATTGTGCCACTTGCACCCATTAAGACAGTATACTTCACGGTTATGTGTTTTCCTGCACATACAGTATTGCAGCCTATATGTAGAAGGTATGTGCCACATCACAGAAAGGAAGCTATTGCATTTCTTGAGAGAAAAAAAATATATATATAATTATCATTTGCTTCATTAACAAATCCTAAGATCTAGATAAGCACATTTATTCTGTCTTCTGGTCATGCCCTCTATAATGTGATCTGATAGCATTACACAGCAGGGTGCTTGTAAATCCATTAATAAAGCCATATGCCCAAATTTGATCTCTGTTTATACAAGCTTATAAACAAAACAGTCCCACAGACAGCTGATAGCTTTTCAGTTATAAACCAGGACGTAGAAATGCAGAACCAAAACTTTATTTTTACTACCTCTTCTAAACATATCTACGGCCTTTCCATTTCAACAGAGGCCTGAAAGGACCTGTTTTTATAGTGAGCCTACATCTGGCCTCCACAAAAACAGCAGCAAGTTAAGAACTTGGCGAACAAAATTGTGAAACACTCTCTTCTCTGCATAATGCATCATCAAGATAAATAAACATATCTTTGTTGTGTTAGTAAAAGTGATGCCAAACAAATGGGAATCTGAAATTCTCTATGATATATAAATGGCAAAATTATTACTTTATAACAAAATATAATGTTAAAAAGATTGACAAATGATTGTAGAATTTAGCAACCAGATAGGTGTGTTCGGAAACAATTTGTACTTTGTGTCAACCAGGGAAATATATCTATAAATGTCTAAACAAAATACTCAATACAAATTAAGAATCAGGTAGTAATATTGTTAAAATACATCTCCCTCTTGGGATATGTTAAAACCTGTGGAGGCCTTCCTAAACTTTCTTGAGTGCAGGAAAATGTACCACGTACCCAAATCTGCGATAGACATCTATCTGGAGGGTGGACTCCAGAAGCCAAACATGAAATTTAAATAGCCTGGAAAAAATACAGCATAAAATCCCAGAAACAGATAGCCACCAATGTATGTACTAAACTCCTCTTGTCTCCTGATTTCATGTTTTTTGGCAAATACTGTTAATTTATGCTACTAATATCAATATTTCAAATGATATAGCTCTTAGGCGTTCATTCACTAATCATTGAATTGTAGTGAATTCAAAAACTGAATTTTAAAAGTTAAGGAAAATTAAACAAATCTATATGTGTACAACAAAAGACTTAGGCTAGTTGCAGTCTAGTGTGCAAATCAGTAAGTGGTGTAAAGTGAGAGGATAAAAAGCCGAACTGTACAGTTGCAGCCGAGCCATTATGTTTAAAATACTTTAAATATAACCTGGAACACAGTTTGTTTAACGTGTTCTCTGTTTATTTAAGGGATATGGAGCAGCAATCTCCCATGTCAAATTGGATTACAACTCATATCATTCTCTATTCTCATTCAGTTATACTGTGAAATATACTTATGTGATTTGTGATCCTGCAACATTGGGAGTTTGCAGCTCAACACCCCTGAGTTAACTAATTGTCCTATATTCAATACTTGGCAAATATCCTTTAATGTGACCTGTTTTTAGGATAACATTTACTTGTGTCAAATTAAATTCCATAATCGTGTTTTTATTCTGCCTATGTTTTGAAAATCACAATAACTGGGTGTGCAGTGCATAAACACTACAGCATATTTCACTAATACTCGTGCAACACTACAGCTTGTGTTGGCATCAAAACAAAATCCTTCCTATAAAAGACCCAAATGCTCATTTAAGTACTATTTGAAGAAGCAACACATTTTGATCAAGGTTAACTGTGGCGAAGGTTGCCAGTTAACGAGACCCTGAACAAACTGTTTGTACTGAGCAGTACAAAGCCTAAGGCATGAAATCCTAATATAAATATATACAATGTTTAGAACATTAACCCCTTAAGGACACATGACATGTTTGACATGTCATAATTCCCTTTTATTCCAGAGGTTTGGTCCTTAAGGGGTTAAACTGTAAGGGTTAAACATCTGGACATGCTAGAACAGCTATGGGGGTGTTTTGGGAACCCTGATGGACACTTCTGTAGCTAAGCCATATGCTTGTGCAGCATTTCACATGAGGCCAGTCCATAAGCCAGCCTGAGCTTGTTCTGATAGCCAAAGCATCATTCTAATATCTACTACAGGATGAGGTCGTAGGCTCAGTTTTCAGAAACTGATTACTTAGTGAGCACCTCATGTGGTGTAAATATTCTCTTACTTTTATTAGTTTTTACAGTAAAGTATTTAGAGGTGAATAATGAAGACTTGCTTTGAGTGACATTCTGTGTGTGAATGTTTCCTGTAATATAATGAATTGTGCATTTCTGGCTCTGTGTTTACAAACTGTCTGATCACTTGGAATTAAACCCTGGTAATGCCAGTGGGGGCAGCAGCACATTGCTCTGCAATGTGTCGGTGTGCTTCCTGGCAATGAAGCAGTTAATCCTTCATTTAATTTTGACTAAATTATGCAAGTAAGCAGGGTTTCCAATTTCTCTGGATTGTAATTATCCCGGTCTGCCGGTTTTCTCCATGACATCACTCACAACATCTGAGTGTTGCACATAGAGTCACATCTATGGACTGTTGAAACCAGTAATGACAGAAGAGAACGAGGAGAAAGGAAGTCTTAATTATGTTTTGGACCATCAGTTAATTAGGATTTAGTGATTCCCACATCTCGCTGCCCTCTTTCTTATGATGCCATCACTACCAATCCTAATAACCTCCTTGGTTTAACATGATAGTTTTTTGGGGGGGGGGGAGGATTGTGACAGTTCTACATTGTACTAGAAGTGGGCATTGTTTTACTACTGTAAACTTTTGCTTTAGCGTAAGTCATAGGCTTTGTAAAAGTACAGTTTGGCAATTTCATTGTTTAAGATTGTAGCTATTTCTAGAATTGCTAAACTAGCAATGTTTAAATGTAAAAATCCAAATTCCTCTCGCTTTAACCCCTTAAGGACCAAACTTCTGGCATAAAAGGGAATCATGACATGTCAAACATGTCATGTGTCCTTAAGGGGTTAAAGAACAAAATGAAAGCCCCCTCTGTGTATAGCGTGTATTTTAGAAAAACAGAAAATTTGTGATATCAAAGATTTTCAGGAAAACCTACATGCAGGTTATTACGTAAGCTCTGCTTAACATGTAAATTAATTTATTAAATATGCAATAACAGAAAGGGTTTCAGATAATTGAAAGGCTGTAGGTACTGACAGATTCAATACTCTTTCCCTGATTCTGAAATGATTGTGTCTAGTCTAGTATTTATAGTGTGCTAGTGATCACTGATGCAAGGCTGGACATACAGCTCTACACACACTGCTCTTTTATCAGACAAAAAGGGGGATTTTGTTAAACCTTTTATTCTTGTTCTCTACAAATCCCCAATGAAACCTAAACTCAGAATGAACCAAGACCTAAGCATACTTGTTTAACCCTCTCTCTGCCATGGCATTGCAGTACTGTGCAGTAGGCCTACAACCACTAAACAGTTAATAGCATAACCCATCTGTTATTTACAGTCATACTGCCTACTTTTTTCGATTATACAGTCAGGGATGACCAAGAGAGAGACCTGCAGGGGTGACCAAAAGGAAGAAACACAGCTGGCAAAGCATTGTGGGAGTTGTTGAAGTACATTTTGGCCACCCTTAAATTAGCCTGTGTCTTATTTGTTGCAAACACAGGGTTGTTATTCTGTCATAATTCAGATCTTTCCTTAGGCATAGCATTTTTTTTTTTTTTAATCTTCGTCTAATCTTTATTTTCACATGCAATCTAATTTTACGTGCACAATGAAAAAAATAAAATGTCAATTTTAAAAGGGATCAGCAAGCAGATCTTAACAGCAAAAGCCAGTGTGTCTAAGAACAGCAACAGGCTTCAAATACACCGATTTTAAACTTCCCCCACATGCACAATCAACTGGTAGCCTGACAATACAATAATATAATTGCACGCTTACCTTAAGAATAATGACAGGCATGACTTATACAAACGCCTGCACACTTAAATGGAAAAAAAAATAATTAAGAATGAAAGAAAGGAATCTTGCTAAAAGGCAGGATGCTAATATTCCGTTTCTGCTGTTAAATCAGCTGGAAGTATATACGGAGAAAGGAATCAGGAAAGAGAAAAGTGGGATTCGAAGGTGCCACGCCTCCAAGTATTCAGTATTCTGTTGTCCACGGTGTGCACACTACTTATAAACATGAATTCATTAAATCCAGTCTGGATTTTTTTCCGGGTCTGCTGAAAATGGTACCCAGCTTTTGAGATGTTGCGAGGTTGCTCTGAGCTACGATTCTCTTCCCCTCTCTGTTTTTCTTTCGTTCAGCCCCACTGAGGCTTTGCTGTAAAACAAGAGCGATGTGAGCAGAGAAAGGCACCAGAAAATGAAATCATTAAACATACAACACGTCTGACACTGCATGCTAATGGAGCTGGGCATGGACGACCCTGCTGAAAAGTTACCCACAGAGAGGTCCATTCGACTGCATCTTCAAGGAGGGCAAAACTCTCTCCGTTCAGCACCAGGACTTGTTAATCATGTAAATCCTTTTTTTTTTTTTTTTCTCGTTAAATTACAAAAGTCTTTTGCATTACTGTTTCCAGTGCACCGGAGACTCATGTCATTTAAAGCATAATCTTCAATACATTTCAGTCCTAAATTTGTGTGGTTTTGACATTTGCAATGCCACTTTAAAAAAAAAGATGCTTCTTAGAACATACTTGTTTAAAAGAAAACTATGTTTTGTTTTTTTTGGTTGTTTTTTTTTTTTACACTCTTTTCTGTTCTATCTTATTATGCCTGCTCTCACTCTGCCTCGCGTTAGGATATGTAAGCAGCAGTTCAGATAGAAATGATCAGTTTGAGGGGCTCCTTCTAACCCAATCTTTCATCTGAAGATAGGAAATGTCAGATTTCATTTGTCACAGACAATAAAAAAAAAAAAAAAAACGATAAACAGTCACTGCAAGCTTTTCCTTATTAGGAGAGGTGATCTTACCTTACGGAGAAGTCTCAGAATGTGGGATCCACTCTTTCCCGGCGACATTAACATGAGTACATATGGGATCTACTTAGCAGGAACTGCAATGTCAGTATGACACTTTTCATGGGCATCCATAGAAACTAAAAGGGACAGCAACTGCAATTGAAGCTGGTCACTAGATAGTCGTGACATGGTCCATCCAGTATCACCTCCTGAGCAAGCAGGTTGAATAATTCCCCATTTCTCTCTCTCCCTCTCTCGCTTTCTGACTCCAGCAGACAATAATATGGATTAGAAGGCAGGTGGCGCCCTGTTCTATGGCAGAATGTAGAGCTAATATCTCTTTACATGCCGGGGAAACAGACGCACGGTCTATTACACTGAAATCAGCACAAGAATGTAACAGGTCCACAGAAGAAATAAGCCTTTCTGCTTTCTTTTCCCCTCTCTGCCGTTTGGCTGATTGCCTCGAGGGTGGCTTTTTTTTTAATTATTATATATATATTTTAACTCTGTTGCTATTTTTAGGTTCTTACACTGTCCTACATCTCAGAGGTGATGCTGTGATAGGGATCAACTGCTCGATGAACAGACCTCCCATGCTCACTATTAAGATCAGGGGAATAGGAGGGATTAGTGGTGATGGAGAAAAATTAACCCGCCAGCTGCCGAAACTGGATTCATCTGTTATAATATTTAACCCCTTGCTTGAGATGTACACACAGAGATACAGTGACTTACATTTATTTCACTGTTTGACATGAAACTGAACAGATTGTGGGTGTGTGCACTTAAGCAGAACTACTATTCACTTACGTAACACAGTGGATGACACAGCAGCACAGAACATATACTATTTCAAAAACTCAGGTTTAACCTGTTAACTACCAGTGATGATCTATTTTGTCATAACAATATACTCTCTACTGAACGTGTTCCAAAAATGTCCCACTCTTTTAAAGACTACAGGGTTGAATGGAGATGCTAGTGTTCAATGCATAGGCTATTGGCATCACATCTTTAGTGGGCAGATTATGATGACAGTAAAAGTGACATTGGTTCCCAAGGGGTGAAAATGTCTTCTAGTCCAATTTAGCAGGACTATTGTTATTGTTGAGTGTATGTGTGTATATGTATGTATGCAGAGGGAGAGGGGTAGAAAAATAGATAGGGGGTACATAAGAGGATAAATGCGTGTGCTATAACCTATGAAGAACACATTAGTGGTACACTATTAACCCTTTGCGATCCTGTGGAGAATGGGCGGTACTTTCCAGGGAAAATCGGACACTGGACCGCAAAGGGTTAATTTTCAGTATACCAATTAGATTGTTACTATTTTGAATGAAAGATGTTTCATTTACATCTTTATATTAAAGTATCCTTATTGTATCCACTAATTGCTATTTTTCGCTCCTAGAATTGCAAAAGTGCTATACCTTTTATAGGATAGGTCACACAAATAAACACACTTTGGTAATTATAACAGTGTTTTTAAATCTACCTTACATAAAGTGCTTTGCAATATGTACCATTCATATAAGATACCTGATGTGACCAAAATTGCTTGTAGGGCGAAAATAAATAAATGCACAATACTGTATATCATCTCGCAGCTGTTAACCCTTAGCTGTGACTAAGTGGACATGCATATCTACATGCATTCAGTAAAAACATGCCAGGGGTCCCAAGTGTATTGCTCTATAGCAGAACAGTTAAAAAAAAAAGTGCATTGTGTACACCACATGAATCCAATAGCTGGAAGGAGAACACCGATGTAGCATACCCATTCCTAAATTGATAGCTACTGAAGTGCAACAAGAAAATTGTTGCCTTACATATCACGCTTATAGCCAAATATACAAAAACTTCCAATGCATGCTAAAAAAAAAAAGTTAGTATTTTTAATAGCTACACTACACATATGTTAACAAAGTTTCAACCCATAGCAAATAAAGGGTTTTCATCTGAACATGTTAGTTATAACCTAAAAAAAATGTAAGTAATATTAAAAGTGTATATTTTCTTCCATAAGAGTGCATAGAAATATCCCTCTATGCCGAAATTAAATGGGAACCGCCACTTCCCAGGATGTTTAAAGGAACACGGTAAAGTTAGGAATACAAATCTCTTCCTGTCCCTAGTAGTATTAGTTCCCGCTGTGTTCGGCAAAGAAAGGGTTAGAAAATGTAAAAAGAAGAAATACTCCCTAGGTGATGTCACAGAGGAGCCAGGGCCTCCTCTGCTATGGTCCAATCAGATGCTCCTCATAAAGGGGCATTGGAAACTTAATGCGCATGCATTGCGAACACCGCATGCACGGTCAAACTTTCCCATGGGGTAGCAGTGAAATGAATCAATGCTTTCCTATGGGGCTTCTGCATCAAGTGCAGCCACTAGAGGAGGCCTTAACCCTGCAATGTAAACATTGCAGTTTCTCATAAACTGCATGCATTGCTGGATGAATATAGGTAGAGTTACAATATCCGCGATGTTTTCAGGGTCACATATCAAGTATACATATTGATGGGCACCACATGGAAGGGATTGCCCTGTAGTATGTAGCATTCAGAAGACGGTGCATACGATTAAGTAATTAGGCAATGAAGAGTCCTACAGAATATGTATTAGACATACTGCAAGGCAATCATTTTCATGCGTTTTCATAAATATGACAAAATGATATGTGTCCCTGAAAACATAGTGGATCTGGTAACCCTAACTATAGTGTCCATTTAATGTTATGCTCACATATTCACTATATTTAACAAATATGTATTTTTGAGGACTAAATAAATATAATTACATTTATAAATCTATACAGCCTCCATCTTGGCTCCTTGTCAATCTATTTTGTTATCTCTGCCCTCTTCTCTCACTTAAAAACCCCCCCAAAAAACACACTTTGCTTCTGTCAGTCAGCATAGAGGAGTAGGGTTGCCACCTTTTTTAGAAACAAAAACCAACCATGCTAATTTGCTTCATTATACAGTAAATGCATGGCATCACAGGACATGCCATCACAGCAATAAACATAAGAGAAAAAATAAAATACAATCAAAGGCAAAAGTTCCTTAATTCTCTAAAACAACTACTAAAAATTCATTTTTTCAGTACAGAGGAATTGCAATGCAGCTAACCATACACAGCCAAATACATTATCATTCTCAGTTACCCACGTACAGAATCATCACAGACACTCACATAACACACAGACAAAACACAAACATCAATTTAAATTACACTAATTATTGAGAGTTTAATACATATACACTATTTATTAATTAAAAGACACTCACACGTGCAATTAGACCTTCACATATACTTATACATTACATTCTCAGAAAACAGGAACAGAATTAGACTCTCAGAAACACACATATTTTCATACAATTACACCCTCAGAAAAAAAAATACATACAGTTACGTCCACAGAAACACACACGAGCAGATGGCTGTTGGGAATGCAATGGCAGTCAGAGGGTAAGTTGCCCTATCCCAGTCTTCCCAACATGCAAAAAACTAATTTCAGGGAGGTAGCCACCTCATTTCAGTGAGGTGGCTTCACCAGAAACTGTCTCCCATTCACAATCTCGGCAGGGGCAGTGGTACTGGGTCGTAGTGGCGTGATAAGGGCTGTAGTGGAGGGTATGGGCCATAATTAGGGGGGGAGGAGGGTAGGAAATGTAGTACAGGACAAGAGCTGTAGTAGAGGACTTAGGGACTGAAGTGGATGGTTATGATTGGGGAAAGGGGCTGCAATTGGAGGAAAGGGACTGAAGTGTGGAGTATGGACTGGGGTACAGGGTATAAAAGGTGGGTTAGGGGCTGTAGTAGGGGATAAGAGCAGCAAGTGAGGTGATAGATGATGTAGTGGGAGGGATAAGGGCATCAATACCTCCCATCCCCCATTCCATCCTTATCTCCCCCCAGCTCATATCTCTCCCAATATCTCCTAGCCCCTCATATCTTCCCCCAATTCTCCCAGCCCCTCATATCTTCCCCCAATATCTCCAACCCCCTCATATCTTCCCCCAATTCTCCCAGCCCCTCATATCTTCCCTCAATATCTCCCACCCCTCGTATATTCCCCCAATATCTCCCAGCCCCTCATATCTTCTCCAATATCTCCAGCCACCTCATATCTTCACCCAATTGACCCACCCCCTTCCTTCCTTACCTCCCCTGAGCCTCCCTCCAGCACAGACAGCAATCAGCTGCCTCCCACAACACCCGCTCTGCATACAAAAATATTAGAGCCCCCCTCCCTGCTGTTTTACCTGTCATTACAGGTGAGGGGGCTCCTTGAAGTCCGGTACCTGTTGAGTGTCCTTTCTACGGCAGCGCTCTGTTTGACTGAGCGCCGGGTCGTCACTTGACACCCGTTGCACCCACACAGAAACTGAGGGGGAATAATTCCCTCATTAGATAGTGAGTGCGGTATGGATGGAACTCTTAGCCATACAGGCAGAACTAATAATTTCCCTACCGATTGGTGGAGCTCCCCCTGGAGGCTAGAGGCCAGTTAGAAAAACATACCTGCTTTTGCATTGCCACTATTCTTGCAATACTGGCACAGGGCACACAAACTCAAATACTGGCTGTGTCGGTAAAATAATGGCCTTGTGGTAACCCTGAGAGGAGATAAGTAGCTACAAAGGAGGAGATTTATAAACACATTTTATTCTAAGAAGTTATGATTATGAAAATGTATGTTTTATGTTTGTGACATGTATGTTTTAGAAGCTATAAATATTGTGTAAAAACTGTATTCCCCTGCCGGTGATAACGAGATTACCCATTGTGTTCAGTAATCATATCACAGGCAGAGGGGAGGATTTTGTGTGGGAGTGTCTGGGTGTATTGTACGGATTGATTGGTTGTTTTGTAACGCCCTGTGGGCTGTACTATGTTTGTGGATTGGGAATAAAAGAGACTGTATGTTACAGTACAGGGAGTTCCTGTTTTAACCCTCAAAGTGAAGTGTTGTCTCATTATTGGGGTAAGGATTTATTGTATGCTGTTCCAGTTTGACTGCTAGGAGAGTAAACCTATTCGTATGGTTCCTATTCAACTGTCTACAGCATTCACATGCTTGGGAGAATTTATTTGTTTCTCCGGTTCGGTGATTGTGGTGTCTGCCAGAGTGCTTGGAGTCCTCAGGAAGCGCTAGGAGCATCCTTTAACGGAGGTACCCAGTCGGGGTGCCAGGTGATCCGTTACACTGGGCATCCAACTGGCACTGTACCAAGTTGGTATCTGGCCATCCCACAATACCTTACGTTGTAGTGTGGGGTGGTTT